ATTTGTTTTTCTTTCTTTCTTTTTTTTTTTTCTTTTTGTATAGAACTGGTCTTGCTATGTTGCTCAGGCTGGTCTTGAACTCCTGAGCTAAAGAGATCCTCCCGCCTCTGTCCTCCAGCCTGCTGTTCCTTCTGCTAGGAATGCTCCTTCCCCTCATATCCACAAGGCTCACTCCCTCACTTCCTTCTCTGGTCAAATGTCACCTTATTCAAGAAGCTTCTCTGACTACCCCAAATATAGTAATCTCTACCCCAGCCCTTCTTACCTCCTATTTCTTTTCCACTCCATGGTGTGTGTGTGTGTGTGTGTGTGTGTGTGTGTGTGTGTGTGTATTCATCTTTTTCTATCAAGGACAAGAATATTGTTCTGCTTCCTGTTCTGTTCCCAGCATCTTCTAGTATGATGTGCCTGGTATGTCGTAGGCACTCAATAAATACTTTTTCTATACATGAATGAATGAATGTTCAATGAAGAGTTATTATTTCACTTTACAACAGTGAGCTAAAACATTTTTTAGTTATGAAATGAAGGCACACGGAAATCAGGATGCTGCTTTTTAAAACATCAGAGTAAAACTTACTTCCTCAATCCACAAACTTAATCAATTTTCTGGGATGCATTAGAGAAAGATGTGTTTAGTGACTCACACCATAAAGGCCAACTGTTCCAAGGTGTCAGAGGCATTTGAACCAGAGCAAATCTATCTTGAGTAAAGGCTGGGTAAGATAAGGCTGAGACCTACTGGGCTGTATTCCCAGGTTAGGCATTCCAAATCACAGGATGAGATAGGAGGATGAGACCTCCTATCTCATCCACAAGATACAGTTCATAAAGACCTTGCTGATAAAACAGTTTGTAGTAGAGAAGCCGGCCAAAACCCACCAAAACCAAGATGGTGATGAAAGTGACCTCTAGTTATCCTCATGGCTCATTATACGCTAATTGTAATACATTAGCATGCTAAAAGACACTCCTATCAGCACCACGACAGTTCACAAATGCCATGGCAACATCAGGAAGTTACTGTATATAGTCTAAAAAAAGGAGGCATGAATAATCCACCCCTTGTTTAGCATATCATCAAGAAATATGGCCAGGTGAGGTGGCTCATGCTTGTAATCCCAGCACTTCAGGAGACGGGTGATTGCCTGAAGTCAGGAGTTCGAGACCAGTCTGGCGAACATGGTGAAACCCCATCTCTACTAAAAATACAAAAATTAGCCGGACATGTTGGCGGAAGCCTGTAATCCCAGCTACTTGGAAGGCTGAGGCAAGATAATTGCTTGAACCTGGGAGGTGGAGGTTGGAGTGAGACAAGATCGTGTCACTGCACTCCAGCCTGGGCAACAAGCAAGACTCCATCTCAAAAAAAGAGAGAAAAAGAAATAACCATAAAAATCACAACCACCAGCCCTCTGGGCTGCTCTACCCATGGCCAGGCATGGCGGCTCATGCCTGTAATCCCAGCACTTCAGGAGGCGAGTGGATTGCCTGAAGTCAGGAGTTTGAGACCAGTCTGGCCAACATAGTAAAACCCCATCTCTACTAAAAATATTAGCTAGCTAGGCGTGGTGGTGGCCGACTGTAATCACAGCTACTCGGCAGGCTGAGGCAGGAAAATCGCTTGAACTGGGGAGGCAGAGGTTGCAGTGAGCCGAGATCATGCCATTGTACTCCAGCCTGGGCAACAAGCACAAAACTCCTTCTGAAATAATAATAATAATCTTGCTTTCACTTTACTCTATGGACTCACCTCAAATTCTTTCTTGCGTGAGATCCAAGAACACTCTCTTGAGGTCTGAATCGGGACCCCTTTCCAGTAACAAAGGAAGAGCACAAATATTAAAGCTGGCTCAACTGGGTCTGAGCAGAGTAATTTTTATCTCAGAGATTTGTGTTTTGGGTGTGCATTTTCAGTTTAAATTAGAAGCTATCTCCCCAGTTTAAAAAAATTCATGTTTTGAGGAAGATTTTCTCTGAGATACAGATACAATTAATTTGTACAAGTCTGGAATGCCTAAACATTCATCCAAGTTTCCACAGGTTACTAGGTCATTGGAATACTGTTCTTTTCATTTTATTTATTTATTTATTGTTAGAGACAGGGTCTCACTCTGTTACCCAGGCTGAAGTGCAATGGCCCCATGATGGCTCAGTGCAGCCTCCACCTCCTGGGCCCAAGCAATCCTCCCACCTCAGCCTCCTGAGTAGCTGGGACTACAGGCATGTGCTACCATGCCCAGCTAACTTTTTTGTTTGTTTGTTTGTTTGCTTTATATCCAATGTGATAGTAGAACTTTTAAAATTATTTGTAGAGGCAGGGTTTCACCATGTTTCCTAGGCTGTTCTCCAACTCCTGGGCTCAAGCAATCTACTTGTCCTCGACCTCCCAAAATGCTGCGATTACAGGCGTGAACCACTGCACCCAGCCTCCTGGTTCTTTTTATGCCTGGTAATCTTTGTTTAGGTAACAGAGATTGTCAATATTACCTTTTTAGGAGCTGGGTCTTTTTTAATTCCTATCAATCTTTGTTATTCTTGTAGATTTTGTGTGTGTGTGTGACATAGTCTTTTGCTGTCACCAGGCTGGAGTGCAGTGGTGCCATCTTGGCTCATCACAACCTCTGCCTCCCAGGTTCAAGTCATTCTCCTGCCTCAGCCTCCTGAGTAGCTGAGATTACAGGCGTCCAACACCACGCCCGGCTAATTTTCGTATTTTTAGTAGAGATAGGGTTTCATAATATTGGCTAGGCTGGTCTTGAACTCCTAACCTTGTGATCTGCCTGCCTCAGCCTCCCAAAGTGCTGGGATTACAGGCATGAGCCACCGCGCCCGGCAATTTCCATAGATCTTTTAAGGTCTTCTTTTGTTATTTGTAAAGTGAGCCTGGAGCAATACTAAGTCTAGGGCTAGTTATTCCTCACAACCGTGACAAGACCTTCCTGTGTATTCTATGCCTTGTGAATTAGGAGTTTCCAGTCTGGGTGGTGGGAACAGGCACTATTTTCAAAAGCTCCATGTGAATGTCAGGACCTGTTCCTCCAATCCACTTGGATGGTTCTCTTCCTGGCCTTTAGTAGTTGGCTCATATGCATGTGTTGATAAGTACTCTGTTAAATACTGAAGGGGCACCCTTTGCAGATCTCTGTGCTCCTCTCTCCTGACATTCTGTCCTTTAAACTCTAGCTGCCTTCGTCTCTCTGGACTGCCTCAACTTAGGGAGTCCACCAGGTGCTGCCTCAGTTTCCCCTTCCAGTGCCATAGCATGGAAGCTCTCAGGCAGTGTGCTGGGAGAGTTGTAGTGCTCACCTTGTTTCCTATCTTTCAGGGATCAATGTCCTTTGGTGCCTGATGTCTAATGTCTTAAGAATCATTGTTTCGACCAGGCACAGTGGCTCACACCCGTAATCTCAGCACTTTGGGAGGCTGAGGCAGGCGGATTATCTGAGGCCAGGAATTCAAGACCAGCCTGGGCAACATGGTGAAACCCATCTCTACTAAAAGTGCAAAAATTAACTGGGTGTGGTGGTGGGCACCTGTAATCCCAGCTACTCGGGAGGCTGAGGCAGGAGAATCGCCTTGAACCTGGGGGGCAGAGGTTGCATCGAGCTGGGATCATTCCATTGCACACCAGCCTGGGTGACAAGAGGGAGAACTCATCTCAAAAAAAAAAAAAAAAAAAAAAAAAAGTT